CTCGCGTGAGCGGCGGCGGCGCGCCGGGCGGGCGGCGGGGCCCGCGGCTGCGAGGCGGGCCGGGCGGGGCCGAAGTGGGCGCCGCGCTCGGCCCGGGGGGCGGCGGCGCCATGTGGAGCGGCCGCAGCTCCTTCACCAGCCTGGTCGTGGGCGTGTTCGTGGTGTACGTGGTGCACACCTGCTGGGTCATGTATGGCATCGTCTACACCCGGCCGTGCGCCGGCGACGGCAACTGCATCCAGCCCTACCTGGCGCGGAGGCCCAAGCTGCAGGTGAGCGCGGGGCCCGGACGCCTGCGCGACCCCGGGGGGCGTCCTTCCTGCCGAGCCCGACCCCGCGTCCTCGGGTCGTGCCTGTAAGGGCTTCCGGGAAGGCCGCCGGCGCTGCCCCCTGCCCTTGGTCTCCCCTGTGAGGCGCCCGGGCCCCGCCCCGTCGCGCTCTGCCACCCGGCTCGGGAGGGAAGTGACTCGTGTCCCGGGGCCGCTTGCCGCGCGGGAGGGAAGTGAAACCGCTCCCCGCTGTGGGCGGTCGGCTCCGCCCGGGGTGGCCGGTGGGCGCGCGTCCTCTGCCGGGGCATTGCCCCCTAGCGCGCTGCGCGCCCTTTCCAGCTCAGCGTGTACACCACCACGCGCTCCAGCCTTGGCGCCGAGAACAACGTGGACCTGGTGCTGAACGTGGAAGACTTTGACGTGGACTCGAAATTTGAGAAGTAAGATTGGGTCGGTGCGCCAGCGGCGGGGGGGCCGCGGGAAGGGTGGCGTCGCGCGTGTGCCGAGCTTATGGCACAGAAGGGCTGGCACCGCCTGTGCTGTGCCCCTGCGTGAACTGCCGGCCGACCTCCGCGCCGTGCGAAGGCCGCAGAGGACGAGTGTGTCGCTCAGGAAGTAGCTTACGCCGCGGTCACCAGCTGTGGGATGCGAGGCGGGGGCCACGGTTTCCAAAGCGGGAGGTTTTGAGGTGGAGACGACCTGGAGAACAGAAGGCGTTCGCGATTCCCCAGCAAGCAGCTCGTTTTGTCGTAGCCCGCTCAGGTCACCTGTGCGGGAAAGAAATGAGGTGCGGAAGACAAGGTTGTAGAAAATTACAGTTAAGTAGAGCCGTAGGGATGAAGTGCTGCAAATATTCAGATTTGCGCAGTGACTTAAAAGTTGTGTTTATTTTATGGTTCTAGTTTTTACGATTTCAGTGAGTGTAATTTAAAAAGCAGCTTGCCGGACGCCTGGGTGGCTCAGTCGGTTAGGCGACTGCCTTCGGCTCAGGTCATGATCCTGGAGTCCTGGGATCGAGTCCCGCATCGGGCTCCCTGCTCAGCGGGGCGTCTGCTTCTCCCTCTGACCCTCCCCCGCTCAGACTCTCTCTCAGTAAATAAAAATCTTAAAAAAAAAAAAAAAAGAGCAACTTGCTTGTCAGGAGTCTCTTTTCTTCCCCTGAGGTGTCTGGAAGGCATCAGATGGGAGTAACGGGAATGTGGGATGTGCTGGGCGGTCTGTCCTCTGGCCAGCCCGCCCCATGCGAGAGCTGTGGGAGGCAGTGCAGGGGGCAGGGGAAGCAGCGAGTCGGGTCGGCCTCTGCCTGGCCACTGTAGCCGTGACCAAGGCCAGTTACTGACGTCTCTGAGCGCTGAGAGACAGAGGCAGGAACGGCAGGTCCATTCGGTGTTCAGCACAGCTGCCCACGTCCACAGAGACCCGTCTGTGAAAGCCAGCACTTGGGATTTCAGTAAGTCTTGGCAGGTGGGTTTCAGTCCTAGTACTTCTGAGCCAAATCAGTTTGAAGCAGCGTCACTTATAAAGATACTTGGGGGTAGTCTACCCTGTGTGTTTACGTGAGGAACCTAACATGCACAGAGTTGGAAAACAGTCCTTTCTTTTGTTTTAGGACAGTTAATGTTTCTGTACCAAAGAAAACTAGAAACAACGGGACGTTGTATGCCTACATCTTCCTCCATCATGCTGGCATCCTGCCATGGCATGACGGGAAGCAGGTGCACCTGGTGAGCCCTCTGACTACCTACATGGTCCCCAAACCGGAGGAGGTCAATCTGCTCACTGGGGAATCTGCTACGCAGGTGAGTGCATGAGGTCGCTGGCCCGATGAAACCTGCACTCTCCCCTTGGAATTCACACACACGTTTCTGCACGTGCAGCTTGTGTCTGGAGCTGCAGTGACCATTGGAAAGTGAAGCAGTTTGATGTAATGGGCATACGTATCTATCCTACAGCTGAATCATTTCTCGTGGGTTTGCAGACAGATTTTATCCCAAGTTAGTTACATGCAATTTAAGTAATCCAGTGATAGATTTCTTCTCAGGCCGGGAACCCTCTCAAGCTCCAGGTGGGGCATGTGTGCCCCCCAGTGGGGTGTGGGGGCATCCCTTCTGCAAAGCTCAGCTGCAGGCTTCACTTGCAGCTGGTAGACTCACTGCACTGTGCGTAGGGCAGGACGACCCTTCAGTATTTACCTTGTTCACAATCATGAAAGAGGGACTTGTATGGGAAACATTTTTGTATCCGTAGAAACCTTCATGTACAAGGAAACTGGAAATCTCTTAGGTGGTTACTAACGAAACTATGGATAAAGCAAAGGAATTCTGGTATTTGAGTCTACATAGACTGGAAGGTGAGGTCATTTGTTAAAAGAGAAATATGGTAGCTTTCCAGGAAGTATCTGTGAGCCTGCTCCATGCTGTGTCCCCTTGGAAAGATGCCTTCAGCTCCTTTTTTGGGGGACAGTATGGCCCTGCCTCTCAGGGCCTTCCTGGGGCATCAGTGAGGTGGTGGATCTTAGAGGTGTGAAGGGGTCTCTGGAATGTACAAATGCCAAATAAACATTTGCTGTTAGTATTACTTGGAAAACTGTTTTTAAATTAAGCTACTTTAGCTGAACCACATTTATTTAGGTGGGAGGTACATGAAATGATCCTGTAACATAGAGTGTGTCAATTAGATCTGGAAGATTTTCCTGGCAGTCATAGCTTCTTGGCTGAATATAGCTCAGTCTAGGACTGATGCCCAACCCTGACATCTGTCCTCCAGACGACTTGACAGACCTGGTCTGGGAGCTGAGTCTCGTTGCCAGCCACAGGGCTGTTACTTCCAAGTGCCTACACCTCCTGCAAATGTCCCAGGACTCACCCTTCTCAGGATCCCTGAGAAGCGGGTCAACCCAGGCTGAAGACCTGAAGTGGGAGTCAGTGTTACAAAGTAGCGACCCTCTGGCTTGTACTGAGAAGAGGAAGAGAGGGGTGTCATTCTGGTGGAGCGGGCATCTGTGGGTACCCCCGTACTCTGCCAGGCACTGCATCGTGGTCTTGCTGTGTCAGTACGTGGTGGTGGTTCCCCAGACCGGGCCCAGGGACAGTGCCCCTCCCCCCAGCACCGGGCTTTTCCTGCTGACTCACTCCTTTCGTTTACCAGCAGATAGAAGCAGAGAAGAAGCCACCAAGTGCCCTGGACGAGCCTGTTTCTCACTGGAGACCAAGACTAACACTGAATGTGATGGTGGATGACTTCGTCTTTGACGGGGCCTCCTTGCCTGCCGATGTGCATCGGTACATGAAGATGTAAGTGCTCCTGGTCGCATCAGGGAGGCAGAAGTGGTGCTCCGCGGGGCGTGTTTACTTGCCCAGCCTCCAGTATAGCTCGTTCACTCCTTGAGCTGGTGTGGAGGGTGGGGGACACCTGTGGGAGCATGGCCCAGCAGAACCCAGAAGCACATGGGCCACACCTGCATCTCTGAGCCACCCCTGTGATAAGAGGCCCAGAAGGGCCTGCAGTACTGCCTGGAGCGCCCCAAACCTTGTCCCTCCGCTCTTGGTGTCTTGCTGACCGAGATTGCCACCAGACTGTGAGGCTGTGTCATGCTGACCTTTGTCTTGTCTGCATACCGATTACTTCTGTTAGGACTCCGTGTTTTGGTTTAACTTGACTTGCTTACATTAACTTAAAAACTGTTCTTTAGGGCGCCTGGGTGGCTCAGTTGGTTAAGCGACTGTGTTCGGCTCAGGTCATGATCCTGGAGTCCCGGGATCGAGTCCCGCGTCAGGCTCCCTGCTCGGCGGGGAGTCTGCTTCTCCCTCTGACCCTCTTCCCTCTCGTGCTCTCTATCTCTCATTCTCTCTCTCTCAAATAAATAAAATTTAAAAAAAAACTGTTCTTTAGATCGTTATGTTAGTATCACGAGTTAGCCGTAAGTGTTAAAATTGCTTAACCAACTTAGACTGCTCTGTATCTCCATTCTTTGGGGAGCCCGCTATTAGATTAAGATCTGATACCGATGGTCACGCAGCTCCTAGAAATGGCTGTGATGAGATTTATTTTCCTTCTTCACATGTCAGGGTAACTACTGTGGTATAGTCACAAGTGTTTTTTTTTTTCTTTAAAATTTAAATTTCAGGGGCGCCTGGGTGGCTCAGACGGTTAAGCGTCTGCCTTCGGCTCAGGTCATGATCCCAGGGTCCTGGGATTGAGCCCTATGTTGGGCTCCCTGCTCAGCGGGGAGCCTGCTTCCCTCTCCCACTCCCCCTGCTTGTGTTCCCTCTCTCGCTCTCTCTGTCAAAAAAAAAAAAAAAAACTTAAAAAAAAATAAAATTTAAAGTTCATTTTTGAGTATGCAAAACAGTCACATAATTAGACACTTAAAAGGTACAGAAGAGTCATAAAAAGCCCCCCTGGCCCCTGCCTACCCCCAGGTACAAACAGCAGGTGGGTTTTTATTTCCATTTTGACTCTGCATCCCTGGACCATCCGTGTCCAGCATAGATGGGCTCATCACTCTTTGATGGCCTGGATGGTATTCCACACTGTGGCCACTGGGGTATCCCTCCCATGGGTGTGACTTCAGGGAAGAGCGGCTGGTTAGACCCCTCTGCTTCCGTGGGGAAGGTGTGTCCTGGGATCGTGTGACCAGAGGCACGCGGAGCGCTGGGCAGGATTTCTCTGAGGTGCCTCCAGCATCTCCACTGTGTCTGATTTGTGTAATGGTGAAAGCATTCACGGTGACTTTGAAAACTGCTTGGCTCCCCCAGGATCCAGCTAGGGAAGACCGTGCACTACCTCCCCATCCTGTTCATTGACCAGCTCAGCAATCGGGTAAAGGACCTCGTGGTAAGCATTGCTCTCTCTGGACTGCCGCGGCGTTGCAAGGACTTACCCGCGTGCTTCTGACTTGGCAAGGGGGTGCTCTGGCTTTGCCCCTGACTTCTTCCCCGAGCCCCTGTGCCCTCTTTCGGTGAAAAGATCTGGGAAGGTTCTGTATGGCTGGTACAGAGTTCGTGGGAGAGCCAAGTGTGGTTCAGAACAGCTCATGAACGTCGTTCCGTTGAACCCTAGTTGTTTGGCTTGAAGGTGCAGAATGGCTCAGGGTGGGTCCTGAGCAAAATGCTCCCTTTAGGGCTGGCCCCACGCAGTGTCACCGTCCCCTTGGAGCCTATAGGCCTCCCCCCAGGGCCAGGGCTGAGTGTGAAGCAGAAGGGAACTCACCCCCTGCCCTCCAGGGTGGATTGGAGGGGCCGTGAAACACAGCTGACTTTGGGGCAATAATGACAACACGATGATTACCGTGGAAGGTCACTTATCCTGCAGCAGGCACTGTGCCGAGCCCTGCTCCCGGGCCTGTGGGTTTGTGTGTCTCCACAGTCTGTGTCATGGCGGTTATTGAGGGTCACAGGTGACCTCTCTGGCCTCACTGGGCACAGCTGGACTGACCGCCCTGCACTGTGGCTCCTGGACACGTCTGCGGCATTTGTGGACATTTACCAAGCGGGGGGGCCGTGCGCTCAGCCACTCTGGAGTCCGTGCTACTCATTCGCACATGAGACAGCTGGGGGCACAGAGAGCTCGGGTGCTTGTGGGGTGCATGGCGGTGAGCGGGGAAAGAGGCGCCTGACGTGGGGCTCCGCCTGCCCCAGCTCAGCCACCTCCTGCTGCCAAGAGCTCAGAAGTGACGTCATTGCACCGTTGACCCTAACATGCAGGGCGCTGCACTTCCCTTGGGCGGCCGACCGCATCTGCGGGGCCCATGGGCCAGAGCGGCAGTCGCTGGCCCCCTGGCGTCTTCCGGAGTATGCTGCGGCGCCCTGTGCAAACCTGGGCCACGCCAGCCCCGCCGAAGCGCACGGTCAGTGCTCCGTGGCCACGGAGCTGCCATGGTCCCTGCTGCTGAGGGCCTGGTGCTCTTCTGACAGGTGTGAGGGCAGCAGGGGGAGAGGCTGCGGGGCAGCGTCTGCAGGGCACCTGTGCTATCCCCATCGTCCTGGGGGCTTAGCCTCGTGTGACATGGTGCTGCCACTCAGACACGAAAACACACGCACAGACCACCAGTGCTTCTTGCGTCTTTTCGTGACGTTAATGCTTTGTCTTAGAGCTGTTTTGTGGCAAGAACACCGTCTTTGGGGAACAGCCCGCTCGCTGCGGCTTGGACAGCGGCACCTCTGGGGGCGGGCCTGGCCTGCGCCCACCTGCCCTCATGCCAGTGCACCGGGGCCTGGTGTGTGGTCAGTCATGGCGCGCTCTGGTTGCTGGGCTGCTGACGTGCATGGTCACCGCCAGCGGTTTGCTGAGCGAGCGAGGATTGGTGGAATCGGCCCTGTGTTCATGTGATGTGCTGGCATGTGGCGCTCACAGACTCACCGGACCCCCAGAGGTGTGGGGAGTCAGTGCCCTGTGTGCCGGGGGGCCTTCCCCCACGGCACTGCAGCCCATGTGCCTCCAGACCCTGGGACCGCACTCTCCTGCCAGGGGCGGCCTCCGCCCACTCCCAGCAGCTCCTTGCACCTGCACACACCTACTTCAAGTGTCCCATCTTCCTGAGGCTTTCTCTTGTCTCCGGATGGGCAGGCGTGCCCAGCCCTGCACCCCACACTTAGTCTCTCTGGAGAGGTGTGGAGGCTCTGCCAGGCCCACCACACTCAGCTCATCTGCAAGAGCAGGTTCCAGGCCCATCTTGATGCCACTCATGTCGAGGTGGCAGGGGCAGAGGGACGAGCAGGCATGGGTTCTGAGACACACACGGGGTTTGGGTGGCTGAGGGGACAAGGCTTGTCACTCAGAGAAGCTTTGAGCGCTTCATGAGGAGGCTCCCAGGAGGAGGGAGGGCAGAGGGGAGGCAGGAACCACCGAGTCAGGGAGCAGACTGTCACTCCGTGGGGCCCGGGTGTGAAGCGTGAGGCTCCGCTTGTGCAGAACAAGATGCGCTGTGGCATGTGTGCCGTGGCCGCGTGCGTGGCCAGGTGGGCGGGCTGCAATCCTCGGAAGGGCACGTTCTCACTGCCGTTCTTCCTGCCAGGTCATAAATCGCTCCACCACCGAGCTGCCCCTCACCGTGTCCTACGACAAGATCTCGCTGGGGAGGCTGCGCTTCTGGATCCACATGCAGGACGCTGTATACTCCCTGCAGCAGTTCGGTGAGGGCAGCAGTGGACCGGGCCCTGGGGGACAGGCGTGACCTTTTGTTCCCAGTCCTCAAAGTGGCCCTCACACTCAAGGAGCCTCTGCCCCTCCTGGTGTGCTGCTTTAACCCACTTCCCGTCAGAACGTTGGGCTTTGGCTGTCCGTGCTGAGCACCGAGCTTGTCCACTGTGCGGCGATGGGTGTTGCTGACCTCGCTCACTGACCTCACTCACCCTGCATTGTGTTTCCTCTTTTCCTCTCAGGGTTTTCGGAGAAAGACGCCGATGAAGTCAAAGGCATTTTTGTTGACACCAACTTGTATTTCTTAGCGTTGACCTTCTTTGTCGCAGCATTTCACGTGAGTGGTCACTGGGCTGGTGGCTCTGCAGGCACCCGCCGTCCTCAGCCGGGGGTCTGCACAGCCTGGCAGACAGACCTGAGGCTTTGAGGTTGTCCTTTCTCCCAGTTCAGGAGAGGGTGTCTGGACCTGGGTCCCTGACACCCTGAAGGACTTGGGGTTTTATCTGCTGGTCTTGGAGGCCATCTTGGAAGGAAATCCAAAATCTGTGAGGTTCATTGAGGACTAGTATTTGTTTATGTAATTCTGGCATGGTGATCTCAGTACTAGAAAGTTAGTTCTTGCATAGAATTCCTTTTTGCACAAGGAGTCTCACACCTGGGGAGGAAAGCTGACCCCCATGCAGCCGCGGTGCTGGATTTGAGGTCAGGCTGGGAAGGGGCAGACAAGGTAGGCTGCAGGGCAGGCTTGGGAGCCCTACTGCAGCCCGTCCTGACTGCCCAGCTGCACCTTTGCAGAACTGAGCTGTGGAACAGTGGTTTTTATCAGAAGGTCTGTCTGCGAGTGAGCCCGTGTGCTTCTGGGACAGACACTGCACACCCTTGCGCTCCGGCTAAGAGCCGGCGGGACCTGGCGAGGGCAGTATGTGGACGTCCCTGCGGGCATGCGACCCATGATTGCTGTCAGATGCCCTGCAGTTCTGGCATGGTGGATGGGACATGAGGCCGTGGGCTTCTGTGGCGCCTGGCGGCTGTCTGGCTGTGTCCTTAGGACCTGGGTCCGGTGCATACCTGCAGTCACTCGGTGAAGAGCACCTGTAGAAGCCACGCGAGGTGCAAATTGCTGTGCTCTTCCCTTTGCAGCTTCTGTTTGATTTCCTGGCATTTAAAAACGACATCAGTTTCTGGAAAAAGAAGAAGAGCATGATTGGAATGTCTACCAAAGCAGGTAGATGCTCTTAGGAGTTTTGCGTATTCCCAGGGCATATGCTACGGTTGATAGGTGTTTAAGGTTCATTTTGGAACTTGAAGTTTAGGGTCATCTCTGACAGCTGCCGGCTGGGGATCCTGTTCGTGTGGGAGGGTCACCTTTGGATCTTGCCTGCTAACAAGTTGGGGAGGGGCCGTCTCTAGATCCCAGAGAATGTCGGGTAGGCCTGTGACCTCAGAGGACAGACGGCGGTGGAGGCTGCCTGCCGGGGCCCACCTTGGCGATGACAGACACTGGATCTTGGTGCATGTTGGTGCATCTCAGACAACGGGGGCAGTTCTTTTTCTCCCACAGCAACGACATGCCCAGGGGTGGTCTAGGCCACTTGGGTGGCCCCCATATCGTCCGTGTCTCAGATTCTTCTGTCCTGTTCTCCGGTGCCCTCGGCGTGGATGAGGGCTCCCACTGAGTTCTCCTGCCCCCTCCTCTTTCTCTTCCCGGGGAGCGGAGGGCGGGCAGGAGATGCTGTGGGTCCCTGGGGCCGTGCCCATGGAGGGCCGCCGGTGCCCCCCACCCCTTCCTGGTGCCCTGGCAGGTGACTCTGCTCCTTCGGCGGGAAGCGCTGAGGAAACAGCAGGGCCGTGTCAGTGAGCCGCCGTGTTTCACAAAGTAGGGTCTTAAAAGGAGAAGGTATAGCTTTCAACAGAGAGACTGGTTTATTGCGAATTGGTGTAGAAATAGGAAAGGGTCATGTGAGAGTCCCAGGAAGCGAGTCCTAATCCCTGCCCAGAACCTGTCTTGTCTGTGTGCTCTCGGCATGTTTGTGTGTTTGCAAGTGCACCGCGTGCACATTTCTGAACCTGAGGGGACCTTGTGTTCCATGTGCAGGACATTTACACAGCCACACGCCCCGCTCCGGGTTAGTGACGGAGGGGGTGAATTACATGAGGCCTCATGTGTGCACGTGAGGGGTTGTATGTGTGTGTGTGAGGCGTCGGGGGGATGTGAGGGCGCATGCGTGGGGGCCAACAGGTGGGGGTGTGGGAAGGGGGTGCGTGGGGGTGCCGTGAGGACCGGGCGTGGGGTGTGAATAGGGCAGGGCCAGCCCCCCAGCACAGCGCCCTGCCAACCCCCGCCCCGTCCCCAGTGCTCTGGCGCTGCTTCAGCACGGTGGTCATCTTCCTGTTCCTGCTGGACGAGCAGACGAGCCTGCTGGTGCTGGTCCCTGCGGGCATCGGTGCCGCCATCGAGGTGAGTTGCGCGGCAGCCCTTGGCCCTGCACTCAGTACTGAGCCAGGTCTGACACAGGGAGGGCTGTGGCCCCTCCACGGGCAAGGCAGGGCGGGGCAGGCCGGGCTGCTGAGGCTACAGAAAGCATCCGTCCATCACAGCCATCTGCAGGATGTATTTAACCCGCTGGATGCAGAGCTACCTGGCCTGTGCTGTGCTCGCTGCTGCAGGAAGCCAAGTGTGGGACGTGGCGTCCAGGAGCGTGGCGCCCTGTGGCAGTCTGGCTGTGTGGGGCTCAGGAGAGGGATCCTTTGGGGTGGGCAGTTTGGGGCCAGGCCGTGAGGACGGTGGAGGGTCTGGGACACAGTCAGCAGAGGGGGTGGTGGGCCCAGACATCCTCCTCTGGCCTCCAGTGCTGCCCTGTCCTAGCCTCAGCCATGGCTGTGGTTCTGTGCCCCTGCCCATGGGTGCTGGCCCACATGGTGGTCAGGTCAAAGACGGTGCTTGGTCTGTCCGTCACAGAGCGTGGGCAGGGACCCTCCCATAGCCACCTGTCACCGTGTGGAAACCCAGCTCGAAAGTGGCTGTGCCATGCTGGTCCCACCTCAGGTGGTGAGAAGGGTTGGGTCCCCCAGAGACTGGAAATGGCAGGACTCAGGGCAGGGGCTTGGGGCCTCACAGTGCTGACCAGGAGGAAGGTGCCGGTAAAGCAGGAGGCAGGCGGGGTGGGCTGGGAAGGGGGCTTGGCCTGGAGGAGGACAGCCGGGCTGAGTGCCAGTTCCCTGGGTGCAGAGAAGAGGGGGTGGTGTCCCCATGGGCAGACAGGCTCAGTGGTTGGGCATGTAGGCCGTCAGGCGCGGTCAGGCTGGTCTGGAGGGGCTGAGCAGGCAGACACTGTGGCCCGTCACCTTCCAGTGGTGAGTTCTGGGGACTCCTTGGTCTCAGAGCTTAAATGTCTGTTTCTCCTTCTTTGCCATCAGCTGTGGAAAGTGAAAAAGGCCTTGAAGATGACCATTCTTTGGAGAGGCCTGAGACCCGAGTTCCAGGTGGGGGTTTCTTCTGTTCTGACTGCACCCCTCCTCCTCGGCAGCCCACCTTCTCCCGCGGCACCCCGGTCCGCCCATGTGATTGTCCCAGAGCATCTCCCACGTGTCTCCCAGCTGCGCTCTGGTTAGACGCCATACTTGGGCCGGTGATCCTTCAGCCGCATGGCTGATCTCTGGCTCAGAGCAGGCCCCCAGCAGACGAGGTGGGAGCACGCAGGTGGAGGGAGGCTGGGGCCGCCGCAGCTCTGCAGTTCCCTTGGCAGGGCCGGCGTCAGATTGCTGGCAGCGGCCAGTGCTGGACCCACGTGGGCTTCCTGTTGGGGACGGAGCGCAGGCTGCACTGACGGCCTGATGGGGGCTGGGGGTTGGTGTCAGTTTGAGGTTTGTCGTTGGGCGCTCTGCTCTTGCTGCCATGATGGACCCGTTCCAGGAGAACCTCGGGGCTCACGGCACCCCCAGCTTTCCAGGTTCTAAACCGTCGAGGGCGGGAGACTAGTCAGCAGGACGCAGTTTGTCCTGTTCTGCAGCCCCTCGGTGACTCCACCGTCACTGATCTCAGAGCCGCGTGGGGCGCACAGAGGAAGCACCGTTGCTGTATTAGCTGACCACATGGAGGCTAGGAGGGGCACCCAGCAAGGGGACATGCTCGCGGGTGTGCTTCTGCTGCACACGGCACTCGCTGTGCCCCGTGGGGACCTCTCTGGGTCCCTGGGTGGCTCTGAAGGGGCAGGGAGCGATTTGACTGGGATCTGGAGACTAGAGCCCCGGGGTCAGCACCCGGGGTGAGCCTCACGCAGCTGCATGCGGCTGTCCCTTTGCGGGTCGGGCTGGAGTCAGGTGACTGACAGGACTCTGTTGGATTTTGTGATAGTTCGGCACCTACAGCAAGTCGGAGAGGAAGACGGAGGAGTACGACGCTCAGGTAGGCAGCAGGGGGTGTTTGGGGTGCGCTAGCGCCCGAGGGCGACGCACCTGGGGAAGGAGGCTCTGGGGCTTCTCCCTGTCCCGGGCCTTGCAGGGAACCTCCGCCAAGTTGTCCCGGGTGGTTCGTGTGGGTGCTGTGGTGGCACACTTTGTCTTGAGACTCTGTTGACCCCCACGGGGGCCGCGTCGTGTCCTGAGGCCAGCAGCGCTGCCGCGGGCGTAGCTAAAGCTGTCACTTGGCTGTGACGTGCCTCCTGCGTGGGGACGTGTCACATTCTGCTTCCCTGGTGTCTGAGCTCGGGCTCTACGGGCGTCACAGTAAAGCTCCAGACGAGCACAGGGGCGAGCCACAGGCCCCGGGACCGTTCTGCCCTGTCGTCCCCGGCGGGCCCCTTTGTCGGTCTGCCGTAGGCCGGTGGGCTGATACCGTCTGTGTTCCGTCCGGCCTCGTTCCTGGTGCTGTGCGTTCTCTGGGCGCCCGCTGTCCCAGCACCGCGCACACCCGCTTCCCTGGAGTCGTGGCTCGTTTGCCCTTTTTTGCTTGTCTTCCCCCGTTGCACGTGGGGCTTTCACAGGGGTTACCTGTTCCCTGCAGGCCATGAAGTACTTGTCCTATCTGCTGTACCCTCTGTGCATCGGGGGCGCCGTCTACTCCCTGCTGAACATCAAATATAAGAGGTATGGTGCTGCCCAGCCCCACTGCTGCTCATCCGCCTGGGGACGCCCCTTGGCCTCTGTCCCGGGCTGCCGCTGTGCCTCGGGTCCCCTGCAGCGTGGACGGGGGGTGGGGGGGCCTTGCCCGGGGGCACTTCAGGACCAAGGACACAGCCTGCAGTGAGGGCACCGAGGCCGTCATGCGGTGCCCCCCCCCCCCCCGCCCTTCTCCCAAGCAGCAAGTACAGAGCCACGGGCGTCCACAGCCCTGGTGTCTGGGACGAGGGCGGGTGTGTCTGGACAAGGGGAAGCTGGCTAAGGCAGCACGGCCCCTGAATGCAGACACGACCCTGAGAGCTGGACCCCAGTGCGGGTCTTCGTGCTGCCGGCCGCTCTGACGGAGAACCCTATCAGGGCAGGTCTCACCGCCACCTGGTGCTTGCGTCCCGGGGGGAGGACTGTCTGCGCAGGTCCCCCGACTGGCACCTGCTAGTGCCCGGGTGTTTGTGACGTGGTTTCCACGACCGTGCTGCTAGCCAACGCGACAGGCACAGAGGGACGGGGGACGCGGGACTTGGCACGCTGACGCTGGTCTTTCCCTTCCAGCTGGTATTCTTGGCTCATCAACAGCTTCGTCAACGGTGAGTCATGGGCTTCAGTCCCGCCAACAGCATTTCAACAGCTTCCTCGTGGCTCCTGCACGGGGCCCCATTGGTTTGAGGTTGTGCGCGCAGGACCCTTACTGTGGCCCGTGCTCTGTTTGGGGGCCTCCAGATGCCTGGTTTGTCTGCGGGAGCCCCACTCAGGCTGCCTCGGCCACAGAGTCCTGGGCCGTGTGTTTTCTCCTCACAAAAACAGCTCAGGGTGGCAGGAAACAACACTGTCTACACACGCTTCCTGAGGGCAGGCCCAAGCAGCAGGCCCCAGAGTGCAGCGCGCCGCCAGGCCCACAAGCCCTGTGCACGGGCCGGGTCCACGTCCTGGCAGGGGTGGGTGGGTCGTCTGGCTGCTAGGCTGTCCCTGACCGGCCTGGGCTCTCTGCGCAGAGCCCCACGACGGGCTCCCACCAGGTGTGATTCCCAGGGGCGGCCGCAGTGCATGGACAGGGCCTGAAGCAGGCTGCAGAGGGTGGCGGGAGGGGGCAGCCAGCAGACTGCCCATAGGTGGGGACAGACGCTGGGCCGCGGGGCATCAGCTCTCCTGCCCAGACACCGTGCCCGTCCCAGCCTGCTCTCTGTCTCCCCAGGGGTGTATGCGTTCGGCTTCCTCTTCATGCTGCCCCAGCTCTTTGTGAACTACAAGGTAAGACCGCGGCCCGTCCACACGCCCATGGTTTCTGTGTGGCTGGCCACTGATCTGCTGCATCTCTCCTGTTCCCCAGATGAAGTCGGTGGCGCACCTGCCTTGGAAGGCCTTTACCTACAAGGTCAGTGCCCGGCCTGGCCCCTCCTCAGGGCTCACACGCCCATTGGGTGGCACATCGTGGAGGCGGGGGCAGGGGGGCATGTGCTTTGAGCCACGTGTACCATAGTGGTGACTTAAGGACAGTGGTTCTCTGACCATCGTAGCGGCCGAAGACGTTTTCTTGAATTAAAAACCACGTTCCTCTTGGTGACACACATCAGAGCGCAGACCACCACCTGGCCCCAGGGCCCGTGTCCACAGATGCCGTCCAGCTGCCGTGAGGGTGGTCCCCGCGTGGCGCGTCCCACGCGAGCGGAGCTTGGGACCATGGGGCCTCTGTGCTTGTTGAGCAGCCTGGACCGGGCTTCAGTAGCATTGTGCGGTTTTCAGGGGAGATGGGTATATGCTGTGCTGTTCTGTTTTCTGAGGGCAAACGACCAGTTCTGAGGAGCGGGGACACTGCTGCGTTCCTGGCCCGTGTTTTCAGGGCAGCCCTTGCTGGCCTTCGCGGTCTGTGGAGACCCGGGGCGTGCGCTGCAAGGTGGGGGCCCCGGGGCAGTAGGGCCAGCTCCCCAGGCATCCAGTGTCCTCCTGCACTTGCTCGTTCTCTGCCCTTCTGGTGTCTCTGGGACACCCGCGGTCACACGTGGTGTCTGCTGAGCGGCAGTCCGCCAGTGACGGGGGGGACAGGGCCCGTGCGCAGGGGCGTGTGTCTTTGGGAGAACCCAACGACCCATGTTCCCACCTTCCCCTGTCCCACCTGGCAGGCCTTCAACACCTTCATCGATGATGTCTTTGCCTTCATCATCACCATGCCCACCTCCCACCGGCTGGCATGCTTCAGGGACGACGTGGTGTTCCTTGTGTACCTTTACCAGCGATGGTGAGTGTGGCGGACGCCCGTGCTGCTCGTCCCGTGGGGAGGGAGGCGGTGTGCCTGAGGGAGAGACTGTCCTTTTCTCCTAGTTGAGATGAGTTGGTCTTGTGTGCAGCTGTGTGGGGCCGGTCGGTGTCACAGTGTGACACCATTCCTCACCGGCAGGGTCTGGCTGAGCTGGAGGGAGACCCCACCCCGGGGCCGTGGGCCTGGCAGGGCAGGGCTAGGTCTCCTGGGGGTGGTGCCCCCAACCCTGCTGCTTTGGCTCAGCTGCCCTGGGCCTCTGATCTGCCTTGAGCACAGAGCTCCATCCTGATCATAAAAACACACACACAACAACAGGCGGGCACGAGAGGACCCTTGAATCCCTGTCCCGCGGCAGCATGGGGTCGCTGGGTCCTCCCTGCCGGGAGCTGAGCCCCTTCCCAGATGGCAGAGCCCGAGGGCACTGCTGTCCTTGCAGGCTTTATCCCGTGGATAAGAGCAGGGTGAACGAGTTCGGGGAGTCATACGAGGAGAAGCCCCCGCGGAAGGCCCACGCAAACTGAGTCGCCGCCCAGGCCATGTGGGGTCGGCCACTGCGCAGCAGAGCTGGGTTGTCAGCTGAGTATTTTGGGATGCTTCTGGTGGAAATCCCTGGACATTACATCTTCCGCATTGCCAAAACCTGAACGTTTCCCGTCACCTCTTGAGTCCCTTTGTGTTGTGGTTGAGAAGGGTCCTAGCAGGCAGACACTCGCCCGCGCACCAGGCTTTGACCGTGGGCAGTGCGCGCTGTGAGTGCTCGAGTGGCTCTTTAAATCCATTCCTTAGAGACTGGGATCAAATGGCTTTTTTCCTTTTTGTTTAAAATTTGACTATTTTAAAAAGCTTAATGTATGTATGTTTCTATTTTAAAATAAATTTCTCTGGCTGTAACGTCTTCTTGGCTTGGTATGACGTGGAAGGTGTCTTAGCGGCTTCACTTTTCCTGTTTTTGGAAATGTGTGCATGATGTGGGTTTGTTCGTGTGCTTATTGAAGCAGCAAATTTAAAGGCCACTTCCCAAGCTCTCAAATCACAAACTTTCCTAAATATCTGGTATTGAATTTGTCACATGGTCACCACTGGTCCGACAGATGGTGTTTTTTCAGAAATGCCCCAGGTCAGGGCCGAGATGAGCGGAGTGGCGGGACCGGGCAGGAGGCAAGGGCAGGCGCATGCTCCATGCGGTTACACTCGAGACTCTGCTCTCATGGTGTGCAAACATGCAGGTACCATCAAGGTTTGGGACTGGTCCCCAGCATCTGCCGTGGAGCTGGCTTTGAATTCTTTCGCCGTGGACTCGGTCCCCGCGGTGTCCACACTGGCGGTGCTGGGCTCCTCCCAGGGTGGAAGGTGGGGCCGATCGCTCTCTGCAGGAGGCCCAGGCTCAGGGAGCACATATGCCTACCACCTGTTCCCACTCAACACAGGCCACACGCCCTGTCACCGTGGTCCGTTCACGGTGGAAACCACACGTGTGTGCCTCTCAGCCCATAGCTTCTGGCCTGGGTGTGTGAGCCGCACGCGGTGAGCTGAAGGGGAAAGACTGGTTCAGGTGACCCCCCTTCAGTTCCAGCTTGTGGATGCGTCAAGAGCCCCGAAGGGTGAGCACACAGCGTACCCTGTGGACTACCCGCCCGCTGGACCCACAGAACATTCGCAGGGTGCGGGCATCTCTGCTCAGCTCGGCCTGGGGGCCACAGCGCTGTGGGCGCCGGCCGCACTTTCAGTGAGGACGTTGGGGCGTCCAGCATGTGCGGCTCCCGGGCTCGGCCCAGGAGGGTCAGCAGCGGGGGCCCTGCAGGTCCCGAGACAGCCCCACGGGGCGGCTCATGGCACAAGTGCATCTCGTCCTCCTCTGGTCTCCAGCTTCCGTATGGGCAGGCGGGTCCCTCAGAGGCTCCCGGCCAGAGCCCTGGCCTCTCCCGGCCTCCGGAGGGGCGGCATCCTTGGCCCGGGGCCCCTCCCTGCACAACCGCCTCTCCCACCTCTCTTTTTCCACCCACTCCTCACTGCACTCTGGCCTCCTGTGCCTCTCAGGAGGGTCCCTGGGGGGTCAGGTCCGGCCACAGGGCGATCCAGGGTTGTGCCCCCATCTCGACACCTTCCTGCAGTCACAGCTGCCTGTCCTGGGGCCTGGGGTTCCTCCCGTGGCTCCGTGGCTCCCCAGTCTGCCCATTCACCTTTCTACGCCCTACCATCCAGAGGGGCTTCTGTGCCAGGGTAGACACAGCCCGAACCCTGCGAGGGGAGCACCCCCAGTGAGTTTTCACACAGCCCTGTGAGCGTGGGGCAGGCAGCTCCCAGTGACTTGGGTGCCCGCATCCCTCCTGGCTAGTTGTCTCCGGAGACCACGTGGTGACCTCCATGCACTTCGGCCCCCAGCCCGTTCCTCCCCCACCCGGAGCCCACGCTGGACCCTCAGTGCCAGGCTTCTTTGGCTCAGGATTCTCTCCCAGCTTGCGGCCCTCACTTGTACCCCTGAGCAGCATTCCACTGCGTGAAGAAGCCACACTTCAGTGACTGGACAGACGTCAGGCTTTCGTCCAGCTTGGTATGAGGAGTAAAATCACCCACAGTGCGTGTGTGTGTCTTCAGTGGACGTCAGCGGTCAGTTCTCTGGGGCCGCACCCAGGTGGAGTGCATGCACGCTTGGCATCAGGGGAGCTGACGCCGCCATGCCCGTTCCAGCGCCCCCCTAGGCCCCCCCGGCCATGTCACACCCGCGCCCCTCAGACCTCCCCACGTCACACACCCCCCCAGGGCCCTCCCGTGTCACAGCTGCCCGCCACCAGCGCCCCCCGGGACCCCAGGTCACACCCACCCCTGCCTGTGTTGCCATCTGGTGGGCATGCAGGGGGACCTTCCTGAGGCCCGGGTTTGCCTGACAACTAATGGTGCTGAGTAGCTTTCCGTATTCTTTCTAACCATTTTGACATACTTTTTGGATAAAGGGCCTATTTTTTTCTATTTCCCCCGTAATCCTACGTTTCTAGTAGCATTTGTGTTGGGCTTGCTGGCTGAGGCACCTCAGCCACGTGAGGTGGGAGGAGCGCACGTCCCGTTTTCTGTTCTTGGAAGCGTCCCCAATGCGGCCTGTGGCGCAGCCGGGCCCGTGGTCTCCTCGCTGGGGTTCTGCTGCTGCTGGAGTTCCTGGAGCTTTCGTGGAGATACTACTTGAAGTTTCGTTGTTTCGCTTGAAGAATTTGTCCATTTGGCGCAAAGTTGCTCATAATAGCCTCTTCTTACAGCCTCTGGGGCTGCGTCCACCGCTTCACCCTGTGTGGTGGTGTCCCCGCAACAAAGCACCACAGACGGGGAGGTGAGCGGCCGACGGATTCCCAGGGCGGCGAGCAGGCAAGCCCTCAGAGCCTGCTGGGGAAGTGGGGGCACCTTCTAGAAAGCAGCATTGTTCCGTCCCCCGTCCCAGAGGCAGGAGGCCCCAGGTGAAGGTGCCGCAGGGCCCGCTCCTTCCGAGGCTGAGGGATGGCCGCTGTCACCCTCACGCCACGTTCCCCCGAGTGTGCATCTCCAAACCTCCCCTTTTGATAAGGACGCAGTCGCGTTGGATCCAGACCCACCCTAAAGACCTCAACTGGGCTCGAGCCTCCGCAGAGACCCTGTTTCCAAACCAGTTCACACTCGCAGGCCCTGGAGGTTGGGACGCCACCACCTGAGTTTTGGGGGGAGATGCTTTTAGTCCCTAACAATTCCTTACATACTTATTTGTAATTCCTTTTCTTCTTAATCAATCTGCTTTTGTCAGTTTTATCATTATTGGTCTTTTGAGAAAAAGTTTAGCTTTGCTCATTCTTTACATTTTGTTTTCTCCTTCACCAATTTCTGCTCGGGTCTTTCATTCCTTATTTCTTTTTACACATGTTGGGTCTATTTTGATATCCTCTTTCCTACTTTTGGAGATGGTTAATTGGCTCATTAACTTTCAGCCTCTCCTTTTTTTCAAACAAGACTTTGAAATTGTGTTTTAGGAGCTCCTACTTCTGGACAAGGGAGAAGCAGCAGGGGCAGGGTTTACTCTCCGGTCCAAAATGATGACAACTGGACCATCGTGAAGACCGTGAGCATCAGACACGGAGAGAGGCATGCACCAGGCCCCGGGTCTGCTGGACACGACATGGGGCTGGGCATCTGGGGAGCGCAGTGACCAGAGTCCTGAGGGCTGGCACCCTAGAGGAGGGAGCTGTGTGGGGAGAAGCTTGGAGACCAGCACCAGGTCCCTGAGTATCCGGCCGGTTACTGATCAGTGCGCGCGCGTCAGGAAATCACGCACGGTCAAGTGGGAGCCACTGGAAAGGCACTGAAGGAAGGATCCTGGACACGAAGAGCAGTCATACCCATTGAATGAGCCAGAGCCGAAGCCTCACCATTCAGGGGGCCGGCTCAGTGGCTGGGGGTAAAACTTAATCACAGACTGAGCACTGCTTTGGTCCCACCAACAAAGCTTAAAGACAAGATCCAAAAGGATTAAGTTGTTTCCAAGGACTTCTGATTCCCAGTAAGAAGCTAAAAGATATCTTTCACCCAAGAAGGTGAAATTCACGTCTGCCACCAAATTACAGATCTACAAAGAAGCATCCGCACCAAGAAACATCGGTCAACTGGAGCTGAACCCATTAGAAATGGGGACAAGAACATGGAAGCAGTTGTCAGACTGACTCCACGTCTGAGCAGCTGGAGGGGAGGTTAGAGCTGGGTGGGAGCACTGGAAGATTCGGTCTTACACAAGAAGAGATTAATGAGTTTAAGACGGCCGCTGTGTGAATGAAACAGTGGGGAAAAGAAGGAAACACCTGAGAGCCGCAGGAGACCCGGGGGCTAGCGGGGTGGGGAGTAGGTGGCGGGGCTGGGGAGGCCTTCGAAGAAATGTCTGATGACTTGTCAGATTTGACTAAACTCGATATGAAAGCACAGATGCAAGAAGTGCGCCAAAAACCGGGCACAAGGAACAGGAAGAAAACTAAAAGGTATGGGAATCAAATTGCTGATTTGTAACGAAGAGAAAAATCTGTAAAGTAGCCAGAGAAAAAAACATGCATGACATCCAAAGGAACAACAACAAATGATACAGGAGACTTCTCCCAGGAAACAATTCAAGTTAAAAGGTATCTTTAAAATACTAGAAAGAAAAAAGGAAAAAAATCTAACTGAATCCTTTACAGGAAAAATATATTTCAAAATATCTTTTAAAATTAAGGATTTTTACAGACATACTAACCTGGACGAATCACAGCAGACCTGCTCTGTGAGAAGCATTAAGACGAGTCCTTCCAGCAGCAGATGGAAACCTGACCTTCACGTGGGAACGAGAAGCACCAGAAATAGTAACTATGTGGGTGAATATAGGGACATGTTTTCTTATTAAATTATCTTAAAAGACAGCAGACCACTTAAAGCTGGAATAATGACGATGTTTTTCGGGGTCCCCGACACACGTCTGCGAGAACACCACAGGTGTGAGGAGAGAGGCCGTGAAAGACCACTCTCGTAGGTTCTCACGTGGGGGGTGAGGACCGTGTCACCCCCAGGAGGCTGGAGACAAACACATGCTGGATACACCCTGCGGCAACCTCCAGAATAAACCACTGTTGCTCTTGAGCCAGGAAAGGAGATAAAACTGACATTAGGAAATGTTCAATGCAAAAGGCGGCGGAAAAACATGGGCAGAGAAACAGGACGGGTGGGAGCCAGCAGCTATACAGGGTTACAGCCGCCCCGGCAATGAGCGCGTCAGTGTGACTGATGCAGATGCCCCGGCTAAAAGGCAGAGACCCCCAGGCGGAGGGCAAAAGCAAGGCCCAGCCGGATGCTGCAGAGAAGCAGCCCCCGAGATACAGCAGGACATGGAGGGCTCAAAGAGAACCCGCTGGGAGAAGACT